CTTCGGTGGCCGTTCCTTGGCTGAACCCCTTTTCCCTCTGCACCGAGAAATGTACGACGAATTTATCCAATCTTTATTAATATGCACCACTGCCGGCTCGCTCAGGACCTGGCCCTCTTCAGATTTGTGGACTTCAACTCCCAGAATTCATCAGCCGTCATGTCCACAGGTCTTAAAGTTGCTAAGTTTTTAGACCCCCCAGCTAGCTGATCAGCCCTTCTTCCTCTCTCCTTTTTGTGCTCTCCTTCCACGGTGTAGTAAGAAGGCACCAATCCCTTCCCTGTACGCTTAAAGACACAGGAATCAAGTGCAAAGCAAAAAAGGCTCACAAAATAAAGAAACACATAAACTCCGTTTTTTTCTCTCTTTAAGCTGCCTCAGGCCTGTCATGTGTCACAATGTTGCAATCTGTGACTGAAAGGCTCTGGCAATGCCGAAAAGCTTTAGATTTAAATTAAGCCTGGTTACCTTCAAATGAAAACTTTTCAAAAGCCAAAGACAGACTCAAGATAATTGGGTAAAACTAATTACATTTGTTGTCACTCCCTTTTCCGGATTTTCCGTTAATTGTATTGGTTGGTCAATTGATCCTCTGTCTCAGTATTTGATTGTTCCACTTTTTCTGTTATCTTCTGTGTTGTTAGTTCTTTGGTTGTAGTCCAAAATTTGGGTTTGTGTACCTAAGCTGGCATCTTGTTCTTTTATGTTGGGTCTTATTTTGTCACAAGCTGAAAGAATGGTTTTATGTATTGCTTTCAACATGGACAGAATCTTTTCCTGGTCTTCATCCACATTCTCTTAATAATGTGTGAAGATAAGATAAGGTAAGGTAAGGTAAGATAAGATAAGGCAAGGTAAGATATGATAAGATGCTAAGATAAGAAAACCTTTATTGTCATTTTTTACTGTGGGCACAACGGCACACATCAAAAATGAAATTTAGTTGCCCGCTCTCAAAGTGAAACACATACATGACGCACACCTAAGCATACTATGAAGAACATATATAGAGACTCACATCCCTACATATATGTAGCAAATAAATATTAAATACTGTCTATCTTCAATGTATAACGGAAGGAAGAAGCTTGAGAGTTCACGAGATTAATGCTGTATGCAATGAAACTGTGGCTGAATCTGGATGCTCTGCTACGGATACCACGAAGCCTCCTCCCAGGAAGTAACAAGGAAAACAGGGCGTGAAGAGGATGTGTAGTGTCCCAGATAATCTTGCGGACCCTGCTCAAGCAACGCTTCTATGCCATGTCCTGGATTGGAGGGAGGGAACTGCCATTGAGGACTTTAAAATCAGACATTAAAAATAATTTTATAACTAGGTATGGGACCTCTATTTGACGTGTTTACAGGTAGTGTTTACAGTAGAAATTGTTCGTCAAGTAAGATTTTATAGTCCAAGGTTGCAAATTACATTTGCTTAAAGGGACTAAACCTACAGAAGTCAACACTTTGGACTCATTGCTAGCCTAAAATACAGACTAAAATATTCTAGTAACCAAAGCACACAAACCGAGTCTCTGAATTACAAAAGCTGCAAAAACTGTCCAAAAAAAATCCTTAGGGTAACCCAATCAAGCTGCCAGCTGATCCAGAACTAAATAAACCCACCTCCTTTCCAACATGCTCATCTGCCAGCTTTTCATTTCATTAGCGCTGATTGCATTCTCCTGGCTGGAGAAAATAAAGCAGAGGACCTTCCAGCAACAGCTCCTGCTTCTTCCCTGTCCATGTTTCCTGCCTGCCTGCTGAGCTCCTGCTCTTTCCCTGTGGTCTTTTTTCTCCCTAGATGACAACCTTGGAGGTCATTAAGTCCGACCCCCCCCCCTCCCTCATCCCTGTAGGGGCAGATCCAGACTCTGAGAGATGGAGGGGGCAGGGAGGAACCTGCCCATCCATGCCTCAAGAAGAACGTGTGGGCTGGGCGGGCGGGGCTTTGGATTGTGCGCAGCTCTTGCCAAAATCACAGATTTGGAAGGGGACATTGGAGGTCATCTAGTCTGACGCCCTGCTAGAGCAGGACACCCTTAAAGAATTACAGAATCACTGAATCAGAAGGGACCTTGGAGGTCATCTAGTCGAACCCTCTGCTTGATCAGGAGACCCTTACAGAATTACAGAATCATTCAGTCAGAAGGAATCTTGGAGGTCATCTAGTCCGACCCCCCCCACCTGTGGTTAAGCAAGAGACACTTACAGAATCACTGACTCAGAAGGGATCTTGGAGGTCATCTATTCGAACCCCCTGCTCGAGCAGGAGACCCTTACAGAATTACAGAATCACTCAGTCAGAAGGGATCTAGGAGGTCATCTAGTCCGACCCCCCCTGTCAACGCTCGAGCAAGAGACACTTACAGAATCACTGAATCAGAAGGGACCTTGGAGGTCATCTAGTCTGACCCCCCCCACACTCGCTCAAGCAGGAAACCCTTACAGAAATACTGAGTCAGAAGGGACCTTGGAAGTCATCTAGTCCAACACACACACACACACACACACACACACACACACACACACACACACACACACTCGAGCAGGGGACCCTTACCAAATCACACAATTGGAAGGGACCCTGGAGGACATCTAGTTAACCCCCTACTCAAGCAGGAGACCCTTACAGAATCACAGAGTGTGAAAGGATCCTGGAGGTCATCTAGTCCAACTCCTAGCTCATGCAGGAGATCCTTCCCCCCTCCTCCTCCTCCTTCGAATAACAGTCAGAAGAGACCTTTGAGGCGAGGTCCTCTAGTCCAGGGCTTTACCACCAGTGGTATGCGTACCAACTGTGGTACTTTGCCACGGGGCAGGTGGTACGCGAACGCCCTAGAGAAGTGTAGCGGGGGAGGGGAATGAGCTGAAGCGACCCAAGCCTGGGGGAGAACCAACTGCATCTGCAGCCGGCAGGGCTCCACCTGACTGGTGCTTTCAGAAGCAGCACAAGCTGGAGGTGAACTAAAGAAAAAGGGGCGAAAGGAAAGGCTATAAAAGGAGGTGGTTTGGGCAGGAAAGGGGAAAAAAAGACAATAAGGAAAGAGAAGAATCTCAGCAGGCAGGGAGGAAACAGGGACAGGGAAGAAGCAGGAGCTGTTGCTGGAAGAAAAGGTCCTCTGGTTCCTTTTCTCCAGCCAGGAGAATGCAATCAGTGCTGATGAAATGAAAAGCCGGCAGATGAGCATGTTGGAAAGGAGGTGGGTTTACTTAGTTCTGGATCAGCTGGCCTTGATTGGGTTACCCTATGGATTTTTTTTTGGGACAGTTTTTGCAGTGTTTTGTAATTCAGAGGCTCGGTTTGTGTGCTTTGGTTACTAGAATATTTTAGTCTGTATTTTAGGCTAGCAATGAGTCCAAAGTGTTGACTTCCGTAGGTTTAATTCCTTTAAACAAATGTAATTTGCAACCTTGGACTATAAAATCTTACTTGACAAACAATTTCTACTGTAAACACTACCTGTAAACACGCGAAATAGAGGTCCCTTACCTAGTTATAAAATTATTTTTAATGTCTGATTTTAAAGTCCTCAACGGCAGTTCCCTCCCTCCCATCCAGGACATGGCACAGAAGCGCTGCTTGAGCAGGGTCCGCAAGATTATCTGGGACACTACACATCCTCTTCACGCCCTGTTTTCCTTGTTACTTTCTGGGAGGAGGGGGCTTCGTGGTATCCGTAGCAGACCATCCAGATTCAGCCATAGTTTCATTCCATACAGCATTAACCTTGTGAACTCTCAAGCTTCCTTCTTCCATTATACATTCAAGATAGACAGTATTTAATATTTATTTGCTACGTATATGTAGGGATATGGGTCTATACATATGTTGTTCATAGTATGCTTAGGTGTGCATCATGTATGTGTTTCACTTTGAGAGCGGGCAACTGAATTTTATTTTTGATGTGTGCCGTTGTACCCACAGTAAAAAAATAACAATAAAGGTTATCTTATCTTCACACATTACTAGGAGAATGTGGATGAAGATCAGGAAAAGATCCTGTCCTTGTTGAAAGCAATATATGAAACCATTCTTTCAGCTTGTGACAAAATAAGACCCAACATAAAAGAACAAGATGCCAGTTTAGAGGTTGTGCCCTGTGAGGCCCTGGTTGCTGCCAGCCGACTCACCCGTTCTGACCCGTTGCTGTCACCCTGCCATGCCTGCCGCTGACGTCATCACGGCACGCCAGGCCGCATGGCTGTGTTGCCGGAAATGCCTCACCGGGCCGACACACAAACCCAAATTTTGACTACAACCAAAGAACTAACAACACAGAAGATAACAGAAGAAGTGGAACAATCAAATACTAAGACAGAGAACTCAACTGACCAACAAATACAATTAACGGAAAATCCGGAAAAGGGAGTGACGAGAAATGTAATTAGTTTTACCCCCTTATCTTGAGTCTATCTTTGGCTTTTGGAAAGTTTTCATTTGAAGGTAAACAGGCTTAATTTAAAGCTCAAGCTTTTCGCAATTGCCGGAGTCTTTCAGTCTTGGGTTGCAACATTGTGACACGTGACAGGCCTGAGGCAGCTTAAAGAGAGAGAGAGAAAAAAACGGAGTTTATGTGTTCCTTTATTTTGTGAGCCTTTTTTGCTTTGCTCTTGATTCCTGTGTCTTTAAGGGTACAGGGAAGAGATTGGTGCCTTCTTACTACACCGTGGAAGGAGAGCTCGGAAAGGAGAGAGGAAGAAGGGCCGACCAGCTAGTTGGAGGGGGGGGTGGTCTACAAACTTAGCAACTTTAAGACCTGTGGACTTCAACTCCCAGAATTCCTCAAGCAGCCATGACGGCTGAGGAATTCTGGGAGTTGAAGTCCACAAGTCTGAAGAGGGCCAAGTCCAAAGACCCCTGAGCAAGCCGGCAGTGGTGCATATTAATAAAGATTGGATAAATTCGTCGTACATTTGTCGTTGCAAAGGGGAAAGGAGTTCAGCCAAGGAACAGCCACCGAAAAAATTAAAGCTGCTACTTTCCCCTCCTTTTTTTGTACAGTTGGTAACATTTTATTCGATTGTAGAATAACGTGCAAAAATACAAAAGCAAATAGTAGGACACGGTGGGGAGGAAAAAGGGGGGAAAAGTGAGGGGGAGAAATGAAAAAGAACAGACTCCCTCCCGCCGTAGAAGGAAGCATTAACATTGAACCCCAACATTTTACTTTTCCATAGTATTATAAACTAGCCATTTCTAGGACAGCCAAGGAATCTAATTAGTAAAACCCAAATCCGCCCGATTTTTTTTAGTCATCAAGTTTTTGACACCTTGCTAAGCACTGGTGGTACTCAAAGATTGTCATGTCCTAAAAGGGGTACAATCTGCGAAAAATTTGAAAAGCCCTGCCCTAAAAGAGTGGACACAACCAGGAAAGGTTCCATCTGCTCCTGAGGTCCTCCTTGTCGGCCGCCAGCATCTCCTCCGTGTAACAAGGAGCATCCTGGTTCTTCTTCACCAGCTCGTCAATCATCTCCATCAGCTGGGCCACCTGCGCCTCTCGCTCCGCCCCTTCGGCCTTGTTGTTGAAAGCCAGGTAACGTTTCCCGCACAGGTACACCTGCTCCTTCAGGGCGCAGTTCCCCTGAGAGATGAACTGGTCGAGGCCCTTCCCTTCCAGGTCCTCCTTCCGGGTGAACAGGAGGATCATGTATTTCTTGGCGTTGAGGCTGAAGATCTCCTTGATCAACTGAGCCACGTCCTGCTCCTCCTGGGTGAAACGGCCCGGGCGGATCACCTGCAGGATGACGTGAGGGCCCGGGGTGCAAAACTTCACGCACTTCTTCACTTCCTTTCCCGTTTCGAACTCGGGACGCCCGGTGTCGAGGAAGCCGGGCGTGTCGACCACCACCACCTTCCGGCCGCTCACCTGCGTCTCCTCCCTTTGGCAACGCTTGGTGACGGAACCGGAAGCCATCTTCGATTCGAAGACACGGCTTCCCAGGATGGTGTTTCCCGTCGCGCTCTTCCCGTTGCCGGTTTTGCCCACCAGGACGATCCTCCGTTCAGGACCTACTAGCCAAAGCAGGGACAGGGGAGAGGAGAGAAGAAGGGGACAGGTCAGCAGCGTTGGGGGGAGACAACCGGGCTGGCCCCAAATGAGGCATCAAACATGTTATCAGTCGTGAGTCCCTACACGCTCACGAGAGATCAACATTCAGCCCGTCTTTAATCTCCCAGTCATTTCCCCTGACCGTTAGTACATCAGATTTTTGTAGAGAGCTTAAGCTGGCAATAAATAATCTAATATCTATCTATCTATCTATCTATCTATCTATCTATCTATCTATCTATCTATCTATCTATCTATATCTAACTCTTATCACCTAATTTATCTATTATCTATCTATTTATCTGTTTCTATCATTTATCATTTCTATCTGTATCAAACTATTATCTATATCCATCTATCTCTACCATCTAATTTATATCTATCTATCTATCTATCTATCTATCTATCTATCTATCTATCTAATCTATCACCTACTTTCTCTATTTCTCTATTATCTATCATTTCTATCTCTATCAAACTATTATCTATCTATCTATCTATCTATCTATCTATCTATCTCTATCTTCTATATCTATCAGCTAATTTCTCTATTTCTCTATTATCTATCATTTCTATCAAACTATTATCTATCTATGTATCTATCTATGTATCTATGTATCTATGTATCTATCTATCTATCTATCTATCTATCTATCTATCTATCTATCTTTTTTATCTAACGTCACCTAATTTCTCTATTTCTCTATTATCTATCTATCATTTATCATTTCTATCTCTATCAAACTACCTCTACCACCTAATTTATGTCTGTCTGTCAATATCATCTCTATCTATCTATCTATCTATCTATCTATCTATCTATCTATCTATCTATCTATCTATCTATCTATCTACCATCCATCCATCCATCTATCCATCCATCCAATTGTAGGAGATAATCAGGCTGAGCCCGAGGGAGGGGTCAAACGTGTCATCAGTCATGAATCCCTACACACTGGCAAGAGATCTAAATCCAGCCCATCTTGAGTGGCTTTCCTATCTCCTGTTCATTTCCCTTGTCCGTTAGTAGGTCAGATTCTTGTAGCGAAATAAATTTTTATATAGGTAATGCTCGACAACAGTCCCTTTCATGACTATTCAAATGGCACTGAATAAAGGGACCTATGGCCGTTTTTCACACTCAGGACCTTTGCAGCATCTGTAGGGTCACGGGATCATAATCTAGACGCTTGGCAACCGACTCATATTTACGACAGTCGCAGGGGTTCCCGGGGTCATGCGATCCCCTTTGGCCAACCTTCTGACTGGGTGACTAACTTATCAACCGCTGCAATTCACTTAATAACGGAGGCAAGGAAGGTTGTAAACTGAGGTTAAAAACTCCCTCGGCCAATGTCTCGCTTAACGACCAAAATGTGAGGCTCCGTTGAGGTCGATAAGTCAAGTAATATCTGTCCTGTCCTGTTTTGGAAGCCCGGAGCTTGACCGAACAACTGTGGGCAAAAGTCCCTTAAATGTCTCACTTAATGACAGAAATGTTGGGCTCCATTCTGGTCGTAGGTTGAGGACTACCTGCCACTCTCCTGTCTGGGGAGCCCCGGGCTTCCCTTAACAACTGAGGCCAGAAAAACCCTAAAACAGGGCAAAACTCCCTTAAATGTCTCACTTAACGACCAAAGTTTTGGGCTTCATTCCCGTCATAAGTCGAGAACGACCTGTACTCTCCTGTCTGGGGAATCCCGGGCTTGGCTTAACAACTATGGCAAGAAAAATGGTAGAATGGGGGAAAACTCCCTTAAATGTCTCACTTAACGACCAAAATTTTGGGCTCCATCCTGGTCATAAGCTGAGGACTCCCTGTCCTCCCCCCCCCCCGCCCAGGATAACAGCTCTTCCCAAAGCCCTCCCTCCTCTCCCCCCTGCAGAAGAGTTTACCTTGGATGTTTCCAGACATTTCCGGACCAAATCGCTCGGGCCAAATCGGGTCAAAACAAAGAAAAATCTAGGCGAAAAGAGAAACTGAGTCACGCCCAAGGAGAGCTGGCTGGGATCTCCCCCTCCCTCCCCAGCAGATCCCCAGGTGGGGGGGTCTCAAAGAGGGCCACCCCCTCCTCACCGCCCTGGGGAGGGGTGACCCATCCGTCCCCCCCCCGCCACCCATTTTCAATTTGGGCAGGTGGGCGTTGCGCTTTTGAGGGTTGCCGGAAATTGGCGGGGGGGGCTTTGATGCCCCATGCGGGACTGTCTCCAAGGGATGCCCCCCCTTCATTTGAGAACCCCCCCCCCGGACAGGCGGGGAGGGATCTCTTGGCTGAATTTCCTGCGGGGGGGGGGGGGAAGCTGGAGGAGGGAAGTGGCTGGAGGAGCCAAGAATTGGGGGGGGCTACGATGGGCCAAGCTCCGTGCCTTTCTTGGGGAGGGGGCTTTCCTGGTGGGGGGAGGCCTGCTGCAGCCCCCTCCCCTATTGGCACTGACTGGGAAAGGGGGGGATTGTTGGGGAAGAACAGGGGGGTCTCTGCTGAATTTCCTGCGGGGGGGGGCTGGAGGAGGGAAGAATTGGGGAGGGGGCTTTCCTGGTGGGGGGAGGCCTGCTGCAACCCCCTCCCCTATAAGGCACTGACTGGGACGGGGGGGGGAGTGTTGGGGAAGAACAGGGGGTCTTTCTGCTGAATTTCCTGCGGGGGGGGGAGGCGGGAGGAGCCAAGAATTGGGGAGGGGGCTACGGGCGGCCGGCTCGGTGCCTTTCTTGGGGGGGGGGCTTTCCTGGTTGGGGAGAGCCGCTGCAGCCCCCTCCCCTATTGGCACTGGGAAAAGGGGGGGTTGTTGGGGAAGAACAGGGGGTCTCTGCTGAATTTCCTGCGGGGGGGGCGGGAGGAGAGAAGTTGGGGAGGGGTCTTTCCTGGTGGGGGGAGGCCTGCTGCAGCCCCCTCCCCTATAAGGCACTGACTGGGACGGGGGGGGAAGTGTTGGGAAAGAGCGGGGGGGGGTCTCTCTGCTGAATTTCCTGCGGGGGGGGAGGCGGGAGGAGCCAAGAATTGGGGAGGGGGCTACGGCCGGCGGGCTCGGTGCCTTTTTTGGGGGGGGTCTTTCCTGGCTGGGGAGCCCCCTCCCCTCCCTTCCCACGGCTGGGGGGGGGGATCTGGGGATCCAGGGCTAGAGGAGACCCCAGACCCTTCTCCTCCTTGCTGGAGGGGGGGGGCAAGATCCAGGCGACCCCTCCCCACCTTTCTATCCCCGAAAAGCGGAGAAGTCCCGACCGGACGGACACCCACCTGCCTCTTCGCTGCGAGCGCTTCTCCGTCTCTTGGCCGGGCAAAGCTCGCCTCGGGCCGCGCCTTCGGGGCGTGGGGGGGAGTAGGATGGGAGGGGGGGCAGAGTCTCCTTTCCTCGGCCTCGGATTGGCTGCGGCAGCCCCCTCGCCCCCCCTCCCTCCCCGCGGAGCCTGGGCTGTCACTGAAGTGGGAGGGGGCAGCATGGAATCTCCCCACCCCACCCCCATATTTGGCCAGCCTTTCTCGCTCTCGCGTTGCCCCCCCCTCCCCGGGCTAGGCTTCCACCCCCCCCCCGCTCCTCCCGACCCGGATCTTGGCTTCCTGGACCCTCCCCACGGCCCAGCAAACACGGGAGAGCAAGACACGCGAGAGTGGGGTCGGAATCCGTCCTGGGGGAGGGGGGATAAAGGGGTGGGGTTCCTTTGACGGGGGGGGCTTTCCTGGAGGTGTTTGGCACCCGCGCCCTGCCCCACCCCGACTCGGAAGGGACACTAGAGGTCATCTAGTCCAACCCGCCGCTCGAGCAGGAGACCCTGACGGAGTTACCGGATCGCCGAGTCGGAAGGGACCTGGGAGGTCATCTAGTCCAAACCTCCCCCCCCCCGCTCGAGGAGAAGACCCTTACACAGTTATAGAATCACTGAGTCGGAAGGGAGCTGGGAGGTCATCAAGTCCAACCCCCGCCCCACGCTCGAGCAGGAGACCCTTACAGAATTACGGAATCACTGAGTCGGAAGGGACCTGGCAGGTCATCTAGTCCAACACACACACACACACGCACACACACACACACACACCCCGCTCGACCAGGAGACCCTTACCGAATCACACAATTGGAAGGGACCCTGGAGGTCATCTAGTCCAACACACACACACACACACACACACACACACACACACACACACACACACACACACCCTGCTGGACCAGGAGACCCTGACCGAATCACACAATCGCAAGGGAGTTTGGAGGTCATCTAGTCCAACACACACACACACACACACCCCGCTCGAACAGGAGACCCTTACCGAATCACACAATTGGAAGGGACCCTGGAGGTCATCTAGTCCAACCCCCTTGCTCGAGAAGCAGGAGAACCTTACAGAATTACAGAATCACTGAGTCGGAAGGGACCTTGGAGGTCATCTAGTCGAACCCCGCTCGAAGAGGAGACCCTTACAGTTACAGAATCAGAAGTGACCCTGGAGGTCATCTAGTCCAACACACACACACACACACACACCGCTCGAGCAGGAGACCCTGGCCGAATTCCAGAATGACAAGAGCCGGAAGGGAGCTGGGAGGTCATCTAGTCCAACCCACCCCCGCCCCCTCCCTTCCGATTGTCTTCCTCTTGGCACGAATTCCAGGAGCCCAGCATTGGGGAAGGGGCTGCGGCGGGCCGGATCGGTGCCTTTTTTTGGGGGGGGCAGGGGGGCTTTCCTGGTTGGAGAGCCCCCTCCCCATCCTTCCCACGGCCTACAAGTCCTACAATGCACTGGGGGGCTTGGGGGGGGATTTGGGGAGCCAGGGTTAGAGGAGAGATCCCCCTGCCCCTCTTAGGGGGGGTCCAGGACGGGGAAGGGGGGTAAGGAACCGCCAGAGCCTCGCGCTGGGCAGGCAGAAGAGCCAGCTTGGAAAGTGGGAGGGGGAGGGCAGAGGAGGCATCGCGAGTTCCTCTAGCCGTGCCCCGCCCGTGACACGATCCGCTTTAACCCCCCCCTTCCCCTCTCCTGCGCCTGCGCCAGTTGGAAGGGGGCAAAAGAAAGCGAAAGTGGGCCGCGGGTGGCCGCCGCTGCCTGGAAGTCACGTGGTTGGGGAGAAGACACACTCACACAGACCCACAACCACACGCAAACGGGAAAGGCGCACTTGCCCACCCACCCACTGACAGAATGCGGGGGAGAATGCTGTTATTTGCATAGAGCGCCCCCCCCTCAAATATCAAAGCTGACAGGCGGCTGTCAACAATTCGGGGCGGGGGGGGGGAGGAACAGCCCCCCCTCCCTATTAAAACAGCTCCCCCTATTAAATAGCAAGCGATGTCGCGGACCCCCCCCGTACTCCACCGTCCCTGCAGGGGAGGATGCGGACTCTGAGAAGGGGACGGGGCGGGCAGGACCCCCGCCCCGCCCTGCCTCAAGAAAAACGCTCTCGGCAAAGTCAGGGGAGTGGGAAGGGGCACCTTGGAGGTCATCTAGTCCGACCCCCCCCCGCCGCGCCCGCTCGAGGAAGGGACGCTGACAGAATTGCAGAATCGCTGAGCCGGAAGGGACCTTGGAGGTCATCTCGTCCACTCCACCACCACCACCCCGCCCCTGCTGGAGCAGGAGACGCTTACAGAATCCCTGCATTTCAGAAGGCGCCTTGGAGGTCATCTAGTCCGACCCCCTGCTCGAAGCAGGAGACCCTTAACAGAATTACAGAATGACTGGAGTCGGAAGGGATCTTGGAGGTCATCTAGCCAGACCCCCCTGCTCCAGCAGGAGACCCTTAACAGAATCACAGACTCTTAACAGAATCACAGGAGACCCTTAACGGAATCACTTAACAGAGTGTGAAGGGGACCCTGGAGGCCATCTAGTCCAACCCTCTGCTCAAGCAGGAGAGCCTTATAAAATCATAGAGTTGGAAGGGACCCCGGAGGTCATCTAGCCCAACCCCCGGCTCCAGCAGGAGACCCTTCCCGAATCACAGAATGACAGAGTGTGAAGGGTCCCCTGGAGGTCTTCTAGTCCAACCCTCTGCTCAAGCAGGAGAGCCTTATAAAATCATAGAGTTGAGAAGGACCCCGGAGGTCATCTAGCCCAACACCCTGCTCCAGCAGGAGACCCTTCCCGAATCACAGAATGACAGAGTGTGAAGGGTCCCCTGGAGGTCATCTAGTCCAAACCCTGCTCAAGCAGGAGATAAAAATCATAAGAGTTGGAAGGAACCCCGGGGGGTCATCTAGCCCAACCCCCTGCTCGAGCAGGAGACCCTTCCCGAATTCCCGAACCGCCCAGAGTCGGAAGGGATCTTGGAAGCCATGTAGTCCCACCCCTAGCTCAGGCAGGAGATCCTCCCCACCCCCTAATCCCCCTCCTCCTCCGAGTAAACAGTCGGGAGGGACCTTTGAACCGAGGTCCTCTAGTCCACCCCACCCTGTCCGGGCTAGACCATTCCAGGCAAGACTCTAGTCTCTTTCTTCAAAGAGCGGTGGAACCCCCCCCCTCCCCACAAACTCACCCGAGCCAGACCTGGTTAACGCCCTGTTCCCCCTCCCCTCCACTTCCCCCCCCCGAGGAGGCGTCCTCCCCCCCTCGCTTCCACCCCAGGAGGCGTCCCCCCCACTCCCACCCCCAGGAAGCGTCCGCCCCGCCTCCGAACTGGAAAGGGAGGGGCGACAAGGCCGGGCTTTCAGCTGCCGGACTTTCGTGAGAAGCAGCTGAAAGGGCAGAGTTGTTGACTGGAGCCGAGATCTTTCCTCCCCCCCCCCCCGCACCCTGTTTTCTACCCACCCACCCACTCCGGATTTTTCTTCTCCGGGTCTCTCGGCCAGGAGAGACCCCCCCCCTACACCCCCCCACGGCCCGTCGCGCGTAGGGCTCCCTCTGTACCACCTCCGCTTCGCTTTCCTACCCAGGCGACCCCCCCCCCTTACCCCACCCCGCAGGAAAGGAACGGCTGGCGGAGAGCTCAGGTAGGACGGGTTGGGGGAGGTGGGCGGGGGTCTCAGCCGCTCCTGGTGGTGGGGGTGTGGGGGTGTGGGAGGCAAACGAGCGGATAGCTTTCGCGAAGCGGGACAAAGGGGGGGGGGTCCGCAGCCCACCCGGGACGTGGCACGACAAAGCGGGACAAGGGGAGGGGGCGAAGTCCACCCCGGACGTGGCTTTGTAAAGTGGAACGGGTGGGGGTCCGCAGCCCACCCTGGACGCGGCTATGCAAAGTGGGTCTGGGGGGGGGTCCGAAGCCCACTTAGGACTTGGCTCTCTAAAGCGAGACAAAGGGGGGGTCCACAGCCCACCCGGCACGTGGCTCCTGGGGGGGTCTTCAACCCGTCTGGGGTCCTCCCCTTCAAGGGGAGGGGGGCGCCTTCCTTATTGGAACTTCTGACCCGCCCCCACAGTCCCAAGACCCCAAGTTAGGAATCCCTCCACCGGGTTCTAATCCCTGGAAGCCCCCCCCCCCTCTCCGAAGAGCCTTCTGTACATGCCCAGAAGCCTCTCGCCACTGCTGGGGTCCAGAGAAAAAAGTCTCCCAGATTATGACGGATACTTTTATCGCTTCCAGGGGGCGCCCCCCGCCCCCCCAAAGCTGAAGCCTAGTAAGAAATAAAGCCCCAGGGAGGTGGGGGGGGCCCGACGGAGACACCCACCACCACCACCTCCTTTTCGCAATTAAATTCTGCATCGTTTGGATATAAAAAGGAAGAACTTGGCAGCCTGCCAAGTTAACTCCCTTCCGCCCCCCCCCCCGGTTTTCCTAAGGACTTTTGACCGCGTTGCTATGAGGTCTCCTGTCTTGAGCAGGGGGTTGGACTGGATGACCTCCGAGGTCCCTTCCGGCTCTGTCCTTCTGTGATCCTGTAAAAGTCTGCTTGAGCAGGAGGCTGGACTAGATGACCCCTGAGGCCCCTTCCAACGCTGTAATTCTTTGATTCTGTAGGGGTCTCCTGCTTGAGCTGGACTAGATGACCTCTGATGTCCCTTCCAGCTCTGTGATTTTGTGATTCTTAAAGAATCTTCTACCTCAGCAGAGGGGTTGGACTAGATGACCTCCGAGGTCCCTACCAACTCTGTTAGTCTATGATTTTGTAAAGGTCTGCTTGAGCAGGGGGCTGGACTAGATGACCCCTGAGGACCCTTCCAACGTTGTAATTCTTTGATTCTGTAGGGGGTCTCCTGCTTGAGCAGGGGGCTGGACTAGATGACCCCCAAGGTCCCTTCCAGCTCCGTGATTCTGTGATTCTGTAAGGGTCTCCTACTCGAGCAGGGGGCTGGACTAGATGACCTCCAGGGTCCCCACTGCTATTCTGTGGTTCTTTGAAGGGTCTCCTACTCGAGCAGGGGGCTGGACTAGATGACCTCCGAGGTCCCTCCCAGCTCCGTGATTCCGTGATCCTGTCCTGCTCGAGCAGGGGGGTTGGACTAGATGACCTCTGAGCTCCCTTTCCCACTCTACCGACCCCGGCGGGAGAGGGACACCCCCTCCCGTGTTGCCAGGGCGACGGAATGACTCCCTCTCCCCCCTCCTGTGCTTCTGATATTGGTCTAGGTTCTCCTGCTGGAGCGGGGGGGGGGTTGGACTAGAAGTCCTCCCAGGCCCCTTCCAGATCTATTCTGATCAACGGACGGGCGGAAGGAAGGACGGACGGAAGAAAGGAAGGAGAGCAGAAGGAGGAGGAAGGGAGGAGAGGAAAGAGGAGGAAGGGAAGAAGAAGCAATGACTTACCAGTCAGTGGGGGACTGGTCCCAGGTAGGTGTGGGGAGAAGAGGGGAGGGGGGGCGCAGTCTCCAAGGGAGGACCCCGGCCCTTCCTTTCCGGAAGTCAGGAGTGGGTGTATTCCCCTCCGGACAAGGAGCCCTGGGTTGGCTCCCCTCCCTTCCCTTCCCTTCTCCCTCCCTCCCTTTTTCCTTCCTTCCTTCCTTCCTTCCTTCCTTCCTTCCTTCCTTCCTTCCTTCCTTCCTTCCTTCCTTCCTTTCTTTCTTCCTTCCTTCCTTCCTTCCTTTCTTTCTTTCTTCCTCCCTTCTCATTTCCCCTTCCTTCCTTCCTTCCTTCCTTCCTTCCTTCCTTCCTTCCTTCCTTTTTTCCTTCCTTCCTTTTTTCCTTCCTTCCTTCCTTCCTTCCTTCCCTCCTTCCGTTTTTCCTTCTTTCCTTCCCTGTCTCCCTCCCTCCTCCCTCTCTCATTCCCCTTCTCCTCTTCCTTTTTCTCCTTTCCTTCCTTCCTTTCTTCCTCCCACCCTTTATTCCTTCCCTTTTTTTCTTTCATTTCTTCCTTCCTTCATTCCCTCCATCCTTCCTTCCTTCCTCCCATCCTTTATTCCTTCCCCTCTTTTCCTTCCTTCGTTCCCTCCCTCTCTCCCTCCTTCCTTCCTCCGATATTTTATTCCTTCCCCTCTTTTCCTTCCTTCCTTTCTTCCGTTTTTTCATTCCTTCCCTGTCTCTCCCTCCCTCATTCCCTCATTCCCCTTCTCCCTCCCTCCCTCCCTCCATTTTTCCTTCCTTCCCTCCTTCCCTTTTTCCTTCTTTCCTTCCCTGTCTCCCTCCTTCCCTCCCTCCCTTCCTTCCTTCCTTCCTTCCTTCCTTCCTTCCTTCCTTCCTTCCTTCCTTTCTCTCTCTCTCCCTCTCTCCCTCCCTCCCGGTGAATAATTTTCCCAGCAACCCATTTGGCTCCAATTCCCAACTTTCTCCGGGGGGGGGGGAGGACCCTTCCCGCCCCTTTCCCTGGGTCGGTTCCCTCCCTCCTCCCTCTCTCGCAAGGCTTCCCTCAGAGCGTCTGTCTCTTAATTCCCCCCCTTTTTTTCCCGCCCGTCTTCCAGGCCGACGCGGAGTGGGGAGGCCCGCCAGGTAAGGAACAAAACTTGTCATTTGCTGCCTGCCCGTTTAGTGACCGCTCAACGTTGACGGCGGCACCGAGAAAGGGGACTCCCCAATCCCTTTTTCGCCCTTAACAACCGTCGCCCGCAACCCCCCTGCTCACGCGATCCCAATTCCGGACGCTCGGCAACCGATTCAGATTTCTGACGGTCGGCTGTAGTGTCCCGGGGGGGGGGGTGTCACGCGACTTCCATATGAACAGAGCTGATGAGGGAAGTCAGGTTCGCTTAGCGACTGGCTGACTCACTCCACAAACGGTGGCAGGAAGGTCGTAAAACGGGGCCCCGAAACTCACTTAAGGAACGTCTCGCTGGGCCCGCTTACGGTCGTTAAGGGGGGAGGGACGCCCTGCGACGAACGATTTGATTCGATTTTATGTACCCTCTGGGCCGCCGAGGAGATTGAAACTTTCCGATGATCCGTTGTACGCTGGGTGGTGGCGGTAGTCCTTGACTTAACGACCGCCACGGAGAGCGAGGTTTCTGTCGTTGGGCGTTTCCGTCGCCGAACCAGAAACGTTGTCGCCCTGTTGTTATCAGCTTGGCTGCCACCGCTGTGAGGGGCATTGTTGCGTTTATTAAGGTACAAACCCAGTCGGTAAGTGAGTCGGGCTCCCCCCCCCCGACTTTGCTAGTCAGACGGTCACAAAAGACTGTGCCTGTTTGTCTCTGTCCGTCCGTCTGTCATTCTATCTCTCTAGCTATTTATCCATCTCTATCTCTATCATCTCTCTACTATCTATCATTCTCTCTATCCATCTCTATCATCTCTCTCCCCAGCCATCTATCCATCTCTATCATCTACCATCTCTCTACTATCTACAATTCTCTCTATCCATCTCTATCATCTATCATTTCTCTAGCTATCTATCCATCTCTATCATCTTCAATATAAAAGGGGGGGGAAATGACATTGCCATAGGTGTATACTACAGACCACCCAACCAAACAGAGGAAATAGATGAACTTTTTGCTAGTCAGCTAACTAAGGTATGTAGGAAGCACACCACAATAGTAATGGGGGACTTTAACTACCCTGACATCAACTGGGAGACAAACTCCGCACCAAGTGGAAGATCAAACAGGTTCCTGGCAAACCTAGCAGACAACTTTGTCTCCCAAAAAGTAGAGAAGGGAACTAGGGGATTAGCCATTTTGGATCTAATTCTCACTAACAGAGATGAAATGATAGACAGTGTTGAAGCCATAGGAACCCTGGGAGGAAGTGATCATGCAATATTAGAATTCAACATTATAGAAGCACAATCAATAGAACACAGTCAAACTAGAGTCTTGGACTTCAAGAGAGCTAATTTCAATAAACTTAGAGAGGGCTTGGGAAGGATTCCATGGATGAGAATCCTCAAGGGGAAAACAACTCAAGAAGCTTGGGAAATTTTGAAAAATGAGATAATAAAAGCACAGTCTAGCACAATACCAACAAAGAGGAAAAATAACAGCTCTCAAAAGAAACCAGCATGGCTGCATAAAGAACTCTCTGACAAATTGAAAGATAAAAAGGACAAGTATAGAAAGTGGAAAGAGGGGAACATAACTAAGTCAGAATATCAGCAAATAGCCCGAGCCTGCAAAGATGAAGTGAAGAAAGCCAAGGCTCAAAATGAACTAAGGCTTGCGACCAAAGTCAAAAATAACAAAAAAAGCTTCTTTCAACATGTAAAAAACAAGAAAAAAGTGAAGGAAATGATTGGTCCATTAGTGGGTGGAAGTGGCAAGAAGGTGACAAGCAACAGGGAGAAAGCAGAACTATTTAACTCATTTTTTGCATCTGTCTTTACACAAAGGGAAAAAACAACCAACCTATCAAAAATAGTGCCATAAAAAACAAAACAGAAACACAAGTTAAGATAGGCAAGAAAATGGTTAGGGAGCACCTGTCCAGCCTAGATGAGTTCAAATCGCCAGGACCAGATGGATTACACCCCAGAGTTCTCAAGGAACTGGCAGATGTGATATCGGAGCCACTGAACTATATTTTTCAAAGATCCTGGAACACAGGGGAACTACCAGAGGACTGGAAAAGAGCTGATGTAGTTCCCATCCTCAAAAAAGGAAAAAAAATGGATCCAGGAAATTACAGACCTATCAGCCTGACCTCAATACCTGGGAAGATCCTGGAAAAGATAATCAAACAACGAATCAACGAACACCTAGAGGCAAACAAAGTCATTACTAAAAGCCAACATGGGTTTGTCAAAAATAGATCATGCCAGACAAATCTTATTGCATTCTTTGACCAAGTGACAAAATTAGTGGATCAGAGGAATGCTGTGGACATAATTTACTTGGACTTCAGTAAGGCATTTGATAAAGTAGATCACAACCTACTACTTGACAAGATAGAAAAATGTGGGGTAGACAGAACCACCACCAGATGGATCCGTAGCTGGCTGACCGGCCGTACTCAGCGAGTGGTCCTCAATGGAACTGCATCTATATGGAGGGAAGTGTGTAGTGGGGTGCCCCAGGGCTCTGTTCTGGGCCCAGTACTCTTCAACATCTTCATCAATGACTTGGATGAAGGGATAGATGGGGAACTCATCAAATTTGCAGATGACACCAAGCTGGCAGGAATAGCCAACACTCCAGAAGACAGGCTTCAGGTACAGAAGGATCTGGACAGACTTGAACACTGGGCACTAACTAACAAAATGAAATTCAATGGTGAAAAAAGCAAGGTTCTACATTTAGGCAAGAAAAACCAAATGCACAAGTACAGCATAGGTGGCACCATGCTCAATAGTAGTAACTGTGAGAGGGACCTCGGAGTCCTAGTAGACAATCAGTTAAATATGAGCCAGCAGTGTGCTGCAGCTGCCAAAAAGGCCAACACAGTGCTAGGCTGCATTAACAGAGGGATAGAATCAAGATCACGTGAAGTATTAATACCACTCTTCAATGCCTTGGTAAGGCCACACTTGGAATACTGCATCCAGTTTTGGTCACCACGATGTAAAAAAGATGTTGAGACTCTAGAAAGAGTACAGAGAAGAGCAACAAAGATGATTAGGGGACTGGAGGCTAAAACATATAAGGAACGGTTGCTGGAATTGGGTATGTCTAGTTTAACGAAGAGAAGGACAAGGGGGGACATGATAGCAGTATTCCAATATCTCAGGGGCTGCCATAAAGAAGAGGGAATTAAGCCATTTTCCAAAGCACCTGAAGGCAGGACAAGAAGCAACGGGTGGAAACTAATCAAGGAGAGAAGCAACCTAGAACTAAGGAGAAACTTCCTGACAGTGAGAACAATTAATCAGTGGAACAGCTTGCCTCCAGAAGCAGTAAATGCTCCAACACTGGAAGTTTTTAAGAAGAGACTGGACAGCCATTTGTCCGAAATGGTGTAGGGTTTCCTGCCCGAGCAGGGGGTTGGACTAGATGACCTCCAAGGTCCCTTCCAACTTTACTATTATTATTATTATTATTATTATTATTATTATTATCTCTATCATTTCTCTATAACCTACTATCTATCATTCTCTCTGTCCATCTCTCTCATCTCTCATCTCTCTCCCCAGCTATCGATCCATCTCTATCATCTCTATCGTCTATCATCTCTACCTTCTATCATTCTCTATCCATCTCTATCATCTCTCTCATCTCTCTCCCCAGCTATCTATCCATCTCTATCATCTATTATCTCTCTATTAATTCTCTCTATCCATCTCTAAGCTCTCTATCATCGCTCTCCCTAGCTATCTATCCATCTCTATCATCTATCATCTCTCTACTATCTACAATTCTCTATCCATCGCTATCATCTATCATTTCTCTAGCTATCTATCCATCTCGATCATCTCTCATTTCTCTATCATCTCTCTACTTTAACATTCTCTCTATCCATCACTATCATCTCTGTATCATCTCTAGCTATCTATCCATCTCTATCATCTCTCTCTCTAGCTATCTATTCATCTATCTATATCATTCTCTATCTCTAGCTATCTATCTCTATCATTTATCATCTCTATAACCTCTGCTATCATTTATCCATCTGTCTCTATCTATCTATCTATCTATCTATCTATCTATCTATTTATCTATCTATCTGCTAGCTATCCACCTCTATCATCTCTCTCTATTATCTCTCATTATCCATCTCATCTCTCTCTCTCATTCTCTCTCTCTCACTCTATCATCTCTGTCTGTCATTCTCTATCTCTATCTTTCTAGCTATCTATCCATCTCTATCATCTCTCTAGCTATCCATATCTATCTATCTATCTATCTATCTATCTATCTATCTATCTATCTATCTATCTATTAAGTATCTCTATCATTATCTCTATCCACCTCTATCCTCTTTTTCATCTCTCATTACCTATCCATCTCATCTGTCTCTCTGTCTCTATCTCATTCTCGCTATCATCTCTATCTATTATCAATTTATCTATCTATCTATCTATCTATCTATCTATCTATCTATCTATCTATCATTTTCTATACCTCTCTAGCTATCCATCCATCTCTATCATTTATCATCTCTCCATGTCTCTCATCTCTTTCTGTCTCTATCTCTCATTCTCTATCTATCTTTCTCTCTCATTCCCTCTATAATCTCTATATCTATCTATCTATCTATCTATCTATCTATCTATCTATCTATCTATCTAATCATTCTCTCTCTCTCTGTATATCATTTCTCTCTGTCATTCTAGCTATCATCTCTCATCTATTACCCATCTCTCTCTCTCTCTCTCTCTCTCCCTCCCTCTCTCGTCAACAGCTGTGTAACTCCACTCTGCCCTAAGACTCTCCCACTCTCTTCCAACCTCACAGGAGAGGACACCGAACTCCGGCTGATCCTGGTCGGGAAATCCGGAGGCGGGAAGAGCGCCACGGGCAACACCATCCTCGGCCGGAGAGCGTTCGAATCCGCCTTGGGAGTGAAGACCACCACCCTGAAGTGCCAAAGGGGGGAGGGGAGGTGGCGGGGCAAGAAGGTCTACGTGGTCGACACGCCCAACATCTTCGAGTCTGAAGACTACGATGAGATTGTGCGACGCGAGGTCATCTCTTGCATCGACTTCTCCCGGCCCGGCCCCCACGCCCTGATCTTGGTGACCCAGGTGGGGCGCTTCACCGCGGAAGACGCGGCCGCTGCCAAGTGCGTCTGGGATATATTTGGGCCCGAGTCCTCCCAGCACACCATCGTCCTCTTCACCTGCAAGGAGGATCTGGAAGGGGGCCCCCTGCAGGAGTACATCGCAGAATCCGACAACCGGAACCTGCGGGACCTGATCCGGCGGTGCGGGAACCGCTTCTGCGGCTTCAACAACAAGGCCGCGGGAAACGAGCAGAAGAGTCAGGTCTCGGAGCTGATGGAGATGGTGGAGAGGACCGTTGATGAGAACGGGGTGAGATACTACATCAACCGGCTGTACCGGGACCCCAACTTGACGGACGGGCTCGTCAAAACATTCCTGGCGGAGAACCGGGCGGCCCGCAAAAAAGCCGAGAATGCCTTGGTGTTGAAAGAAAACGTGCTCATCGGGGCGATGATCACTTTGTGCGTGCTGGCCTTTATCTATTTCATAATCGAGCATCATTAGTTCTTCCGTCCTTCGAAATCTTCCGGACGGATCTTCTGGTCTGAAGGCGGGAGGGGGGGCTGTCTGTGTTCATGTAGATCGACGGCACCCTCCCCCAAACTTTGGGCAACAACAGGTCCGCGGAGAGAGGATTTTTCCACCGACCGAAGGCGCCGCGGTTTCGTGTGCTGCTTGCATCCCCTGGACCGGCTTCTGGCACGCCGTGGACCGGTGCTGGTCCACAGCCTGGGGATTGGGGACCCCTGGTGTAGATGACCAGGCTGAGCCCGTGGGAGGGGTCAAGGGTGTTATCAATCTCGAGTCCCTTCACGCCCACAAGAGATCTGTCCAGCCGACCGTCAATTCCGTTGACTTTTATCTACCGCTAATTTAGTGCTGACTGTTAGTTGACCAGATTCTATTCGCCTGAATCATAAATCGTATGTGCTGTAACTTAACATACGGTCTCGATCCTTTGCACCATGTTGTAACTGACCGTACGGTCTCGATTCTTTCGACCATGTTGTAACTTACCACACGGTCTCGATCCCTTGGACCATGTTGTAACTGACCACACAGTTTTGATCCTTTGCACCATGTTGTAACTTACCACACAGTCTCGATCCCTTGGACCATGTTGTAACTCACCACATGGTCTCGATCCCTTGGACCATGTTGTAACTGACCATACGGTCTCAATCCTTTCAACCATGTTGTAACTTACCACACGATCTCGATCCCTTGGACCAGGTTGTAACTTACCACACGGTTTTGATCCTTTGCACCATGTTGTAACTTACCACACGGTCTTGATCCCTTGGACCAGGTTGTAACTTACCACACGGTCTTGATCCTTTGCACCAGGTTGTAACTCACCACACGGTCTCGACCCCTTGCACCATGTTGCAACTTTACGGTGTCGATCCTTTCGTACCATGTAACAACATACTCTCTTGATCCTTTCAACCATGTGGTAACTTACCATACGGTCTCGATCCCTTGCACCATGTTGCAACTTTACATTGCTGATCCTTTCACACCATGTAAAAACATAACGCTCTTGATCCTCGGTACCACATTGTAACTTAACATATGCTCTGGATCCTTTGCACCGTGTTGTGACTTAACAACACACGGTCTCAATCCCTTGTGCCATGTTGTAACTTAACATAGTCTCGAACCTTTGCACCATGTTGTAACTTAATATATACACTCAATCCTTTGCACCTAGCTGTAACTTAAAATACGGTCTTGTATGTTTTGCACCATGTAATTAAACATAATGCTCTTGATCCATTGTGTCCGAGGCGTACGCTCATTCGGAAGATGTTAAAGACTAATGTGCAGCTGAAACCAAACGAATAAATGAATAACTGGAGAGAAAAAAAAGTTGTGGATTTTGTTTAAGCTGCATTAACAGAGGGATAGTATCCAGAAGACGGGAATTGTTAGTACCGCTTGCTAAGACCGCTGGGCCCTATCCAAGAAAATGACTTTTAATGTGGAGAAAAGCAAAGTGTTACATTTAGGCAGGAAAAAAAAAATCAAAAGATATATAAGTTTTTAAGAAGAGACTGGACAGCCATTTGTCCGAAACGGTCTGGGGTTTCCTGCCTGAGCAGGGGGTTGGACTAGATGACCTCCAAGGTCCCGACTATTATTATTATTATTATTATTATTATTATTATTATTATTATGAGACTGGACAGCCCTTTGAAATGGTCTAGGGTTTCCTGTCTGAGCAGGGGTTGGACTAGATGACCCCCCAAGGTCCCGACTATTATTATTATTATTATTATTATTATTATTATTATTATTATTATTATGAGACTGGACAGCCCTTTGTCTGAAATGGTCTGAGGTTTCCTGCCTGAGCAGGGGGTTGGACTAGATGACCTCCAAGGTCCCTTCCCACATTATTATTATCGATCATCGCACAGTCAGCCAGATGTTCAGACTGGATTTGGCATTTTGTCTACCTATCGAGTCCTTACCCAGGACCTGGGATAGGCAGATGTGGATGTTTATTATTATTATTATTATTATTATTATTATTATTATTATTATTATTATGAAGAGACTGGACAGCCCTTTGTCTGAAATGGTCTGAGGCTTCCTGCCTGAACAGAGGGTTGGACTAGACTTGAGGTAGATGGGAAGTATCATAAGAAATATATTTCAATGAACAGCAGTGATGCGACGTAAGCTTTAACTAATATTAAGCTTTAGCTAATATTAGGAGCTGGCTAAGCGGAATAACCCGTGCGCTGCTCCCACGAAGAAAACATTTTACAAGAAGTGCGAACTGAAAGTCACAGATGGTGTAAGAGATTACCCGTGGAGGGCGGCGTGGTAAGATAGTTGTTTGTGTGATCTTCTCCTTTTTCTAGCGTGTGGTCTCAAGATATGAACTTCTCCGTTTTAGTGTGTCAAGAGTAGATAAGGGTCATCCAGAGTGTAAAGTGTGAGTGGGCAGCTGTATAAGAATAACGCCCTGGGAGTAACTCAAGAGTTCAGAATTTGTCGTATGACTACTCAGAACCTTTGCGCAGATCAAACCTGTTTACTCCAACCCTTCGTGGTCTTGTCTTCTGATGTAAGTATCGTGGTTTTTCCACTACAAGATGACCTCCAAGGTCCCTTCCAACATCATCATCATCATCATCATCATCATTATTATTACTACCGATTGGGCTCAAAAACAGCAACTGGGAGATGGACCTCGGAGTCCTAGTGGGCGATCCCCGGACCCAGAGCCAGCCGTGTGTGACGGCCGCCCCCCAAAAGCCAACACAACCCCGGATTGTGTAAACTGAGGCCTAGAATCAAGATCAGGCGAAGTCTTCGTACCGCTTTGTAAAGCCTTAGTAAGGCCACGCCTGGAATCCCGGGTGGCCAATTTTGGTCCCCACATCACAAAAAAGAGGTGGAGAATTTGGGAAAAAAAAAAATCAGAGAAGAGCAACGAAGAGGATCCGAGGCCCGGAGACGAAAACATATGGAGAACGGCTGCGGGACTTGGGGTTTGGCCGGTCTAAAGAAAAGAAGAATTAGGGGGGACAGGAGAGCAGTTATTCCAGTATTGGGGGGGCTGCCCCAAGAAAGAGGGAGGAGGGTCTACCTGTTCTCCAAAGCCCCGGAAGGCAGGACAAGAAGCAACAGATGGGAACTGAACAAGGAGAGAAGCAACCTGGAATTAACCTGGAGAGGCGGGGGGGGGGGGGGAGGGGGGAAGAGAGAGAGAGAGAGAGAGAGAGAGAGAGAGAGAAAGAGAGAGAGAGATGGGCAGCTAGAGAGAATGACACAGAGAAAAATGATACATATACAAAAAAGAGATAATAGAGAGCTAGACAATGATTAGATAGATAGATAGATAGATAGATAGATAGATAGATAGATAGATAGATAGATAGATAAAGGTAGATGATAGATAGATAGATAGATAGATAGATAGATAGATATAGATAGATAGATAGATAGATAGATAGATAGATGTAGATGATAGATAGATAGATAGATAGATAGAGATAGATAGATAGATAGATAGATAGATAGATAGATAGATAGATAAGGTAGATATAGATAGGTAGATAGATAGATAGATGTAGATGATAGATAGATAAGGTAGATATAGATAGGTAGATAGATAGATAGATAGATAGATAGATAGATAGATAGATAGATAAAGGTAGATGATAGATAGATAGATAGATAGATAGATAGATAGATAGATAGATAGATAGATAAGGTAGATGAGATAGATAGATAGATAGATAGATAGATAGATAGATAGATAGATAGATAGATAGATAGATAGATAAAGGTAGATGATAGATAGATAGATAGAGTAGATGAGATAGATAGATAGATAGATAGTAGATGATAGATAGATAAGTTAGATGATAGATAGATAGATAGATAGATAGATAGATGATAGATAGATAGATAGAAAATAGATGGATAGATAAGATAGATGATTGATAGATAGGTAGATAGATAATTGATAGATAGATAGATAGATAGATAGATAGATAGATAAGGTAGATGATAGATAGATAGATAAGATAGATGATAGATGATAGATAGATAGAAAGATAGATAGATAGATAGATAGATAGATAGATAAGGTAGATGAGATAGATAGATAGATAAAGGTAGATGATAGATAGATAGATAGATAGATAGATAGATAGAGTAGATGAGATAGATAGATAGATAGATAGATAGATAGATAGATAGATAGATAGATAGATAGATATGGTAGATGATAGATAGATAGATAGATGGTAGATGATTGATAGATAGGTAGATAGATAATTGATAGATAGATAGATAGATAGATAAGATAGATGATAGATAGATAGATAGAAAGATAGATAAGATAGATGATAGATAGAGATAGATAGATAGAAAGATAGATAGATAAGAGATGATAGATAGATAGAAAATAGATAGATAAGATAGATGATAGATGATAGATGATAGATAGATAGATAGATTAGATGATAGATAGATAGATAGATAAGATAGATGATAGATGATAGATAGATAGAAAGATGATAGATAGAAAGATAGATAGATAGATAGATAGATAGATAGAAAGATAGATAGATAGAAAGATAGATAGATAGATAGATAGACAGACAGATAGGATAAACGAGAGCAGATAGATAGACTGCTGCATTCTTTTTTTTTTAACTGCTTGGGAGGGGAGGGGGCATTCTGCAAAGCAGGAAAGAGGGGGGGGGCAGCAGAGACAGCTGTCCGTCTGCATTTGATAGATTAGGGGAGGAACGGGCCCTGGACAAATCATTTCCCGTGAAGTGTGTGTGTGTGTGTGTGTGTGTGTGTGTGTGTATGGGGTGACTTGTCTTCAATCACGTGATTGCCGGGAAGCGCAGGAGACCCTTACACAATCATAGAATGACAGAGCTGGAAGGGACCCCGGAGGTCATCTAGTCCAACCCCCTGCTCAAGCAGGAGACCCTTTCAGAATCATAGAGTGACAGAGTTATAGAAGGGACCTCGGAGGTCATCTAGTCCAGCCCCCCTGCTCAAGCAGAAGCACATTACACAATCACAGAACAACAGCGCTGGAAGGGACCTTGGAGGTCATCTAGTCCAGCCCGCTGCTCAAGCAAGAGACCTTTTCAGAATCACAGTGTTAGAAGGGACCTTGGAGGTCATCTAGGCCAACCCCCTGCTCAAGCAGGAGACCCTTTCAGAATCATAGAGTGACAGAGTTATAGAAGGGACCTCGGAGGTCATCTAGTCCAGCCCCCCTGCTCCAGCAGGAGATCCTGACCGGATCCTAGAATAACAAGAGTCGGAAGGGACTTCGGGGGTCATCTAGTCCAGCCCCCCCTGCTCCAGCAGGAGACCCCTGACAGAATCCTAGAAGAACAGAGCTGGAAGAGACCCCCGGAGGTCATCTAGTCCAACCCCCTGCTCAAGAGAGGAGACCCTATGGCTATCCCGGACAAACGGTCTCCCAGACTCTTGTTGAAAGCCTGGGCTAGATCTGCCCAGAGCCCCCCCCCCACCCTGCCCAGACTCTCCCTTGCCTTTGGGCCGCCCCAGCGGCGACCCTTCCCCACTTAACTGGAGGCCCGCCCCCTCCCCTCCCCTCCCTCCCCCTCCCCCTCCCCTCCCGGGAAAGGGGGCGCCTCTGAATAGCGGAGGAAAGCGAAAGTCTCCCGGCGGCGGCGCTGCCTGGAAATCACGTGATCGAAAGGAAAATGAGACCCAGAACGACCCCCCCTCCCGCCCCCCCCAAACTTCGCCCCAGTAAACAGGCTATTTTTTTCTCCAAGTTTATTAACAGCACAAGGGCCGCTTCGGGCTGGGTCGCCTCCCTCCCCCCTTCTCCCCTTCCCCCCCCGCCTCCTCCCAGCAGCCTTTCCATCGGAACAGAGCTGGAAGGGACCTTGGAGGTCATCCAGCCCAACCCCCGGCTCGAGCAGGAGACCCTCAGAGAATTACACAGCTGGAAGGGACCTTGGAGGTCATCTGGTCCAACCCCCGGCTCCAGCAGGAGACCCTCACGGCATAAGAGAGTAGGAGGGCACCTCGGAGGTCATCTAGTCCACCCCCCCCCCCTGCTAGAGCAGGACACCGTTACAGAACGGCAAAATAATAGTTGGAAGGTCTCTTAGAGAATTACACAGCTGGAAGGGACCTTGGAGGTCACCTAGTCCAACCCCCGGCTCCACGGAAATAAGAGAGTAGGAGGCCACCTGGAGGTCATCTAGTCCATCCCCCCTGCTAGAGCAGGACACCGTTACCGAACGGCAAAATAACAGTTGGAAGGTCTCTTAGAGAATTACATAGCTGGAAGGGACCTTGGAGGTCATCTGGTCCAACCCCCGGCTCCACGGAAATAAGAGAGCAGGAGGGCACTTGGAGGTCATCTAGTCCACCCCTCTGCTAGAGCAGGACACCGTTACAGAACGGCAAAATAACAGTTGGAAGGTCTCTTAGAGAATTACATAGCTGGAAGGGACCTTGGAGGTCATCTGGTCCAACCCCCGGCTCCAGCAGGAGACCCTCACGACATAAGAGAGTAGGAGGGCAGCTCGGAGGTCATCTAGTCCACCCCCCCTGCTAGAGCAGGACACCGTTGCAGAACGGCAAAACGACAGTTGGAAGGTCTCTTAGAGCTCTTCTCGTCGAGCCCCCTGCTTGAGCAGGAGACCCGTACAGAGTCATCGAATAATGGAGTGGGAAGGGACCTCGGAGGTCATCTAGTCCAACCGTTTGCTCAAGCAGGGAGACCCTTAGAAAATAAGCGAGTAGGAAGGGACGTCGGAGGTCATCCAGTCCAGCCCCGCTACTCGAGCAGGAGACCCTGACAGAACCATCGAAGGACAGAGTTGGGAGGGATCTTGGAGGTCATCTAGTCCAGCCCCCGGCGGAAGCAGCAGACCCTTACAAGATAAGAGAGTAGGAAGCACCTCGGAGGTCATTTAGTCCACCACCATCACCCCCGCTAGAGCAGGCGACTCTTAGAGACTGGCAAAATGACAGTTGGAAGGCATCTTAGAGGTCATCTAGTCGAACCCTCCGGCTCCAGCTCCCCAGAGCGCCCCTCCCCTCCCCCTCCCCTCCCGGGAAAGAAGCCGCCTCTGAATAGCGGAGGAAAGCGAAAGTCTCCCGGCGGCGGCGCTGCCTGGAAATCACGTGATCGAAAGGAAAAAAAAAAGACCCAGAACGACCCCCCCGCCCCCTCCCGCCCCCCCCACCCAGCCCCAGTAAACAGGCTATTTTTTCTCCAACTTTATTAATCGCACAAGGGCCGCTTCGGGCTTGGTCGCCTCCCCCCTCCCTCGCCTCCTCCCAGCAGCCTTTCCATCGGAACAGAGCTGGAAGGGATCTTAGAGGTCATCCAGTCCAGCCCCCTGCTCCAGCAGGAGACCCTTAGAGAATTACATAGCTGGGAGGGAGCTCGGAGGCCGTCTAGTCCAGCCCCCCTGCTCAAGCAGGAGACCCTTGCACGATCATAGAATGGCACAGCTGGAAGGGATCCCGGAGGTCATCTAGTCCAGCCCTCTGCTGAAGCAGGAAACCCTTACAGAATCCCAGAGTTGGAAGGGACCCCGGAGGTCATCTAGTCCAAGCCCCTGCTGAAGCAGGAAACCCTTACAGAATCACAGAACAACAGAACTGGAAGGGACCTCGGAGGTCATCTAGTCCAGCCCGCCGCTCAAGCAAGAGACCTTTTCAGAACCACAGAGTTAGAAGGCACCTTGGAGGTCATCTAGGCCAACCCTTCCACCCCCACCCCCGCTCGAACAGGAGACCCTGACACAATCACAGAAGAACAGAGCTGGAAGGGATCTTGGGAGGTCATCCAGTCCAGCCCCCTGCTCCGGCAGGAGACCCTTAGAGAATTACATAGCTGGAAGGGACGGAAGTTCACAGGGGCCCTGAAAAAAAACAAACATCCGGCCTCCATTTTGGTCCTCAGGGGAGGCCTGCCTGTGCTGAGGTTCGCAAAATGGAGGCCTTTGGAAGTCAGGAGAGGAAGTGGGTGGGGAAGGCTGCAGTTGCTCTCCGAAAAACCACCGGCCAGCCCAGCCTCACCTTCCCTCTCCTCCCCTTTTTCTTTATTTATTGAGCTCGTTCTCCTGGCTTCTGGGACTTCCTTCCTGCCGAAAGAAGCTTCTAGAACCACCCGCGGCCTTCTTTGTTTGCTCTTTCCGTTCGGAAGTCTGAATATCGGTGTGCAGATCTTCTGCAAAGAATGGGCGCGGCGGAGTCAGCTACGTCTCAGTTAGCAATCGCCTGACAGGGAGAACGATTGAAACCGGCGGAACTGCTGGCCTCTGGAAGTGGCTCCGACTCTGTAAAGTTGTTTTAAGGAGCGATTGGTCTGACACGGCAGAGGGCTTCCTGCCTGAGCAGGGGGTTGGACTGGATGACCTCCGAGGTCCCTCCCGACTCTGTGATTCTAGGAGTCTGTCAGGGTCTCCTGCTCGAGCAGGGGGTTGGACTAGATGACCTCCGAGGTCTCTCCCGACTCTGGTATTCTCTGAGTCTGTAAGGGTCCAGCAGGGGGTTGGTCTAGAACAGAGGTAGGCAACCTTGGCTCTTTTATGACTCGTGGACTTCAACTCCCAGAATTCCTGAGCCAGCATGGCTGGCTCAGGAATTCTGGGAGTTGAAGTCCACAAGTCATAAAAGAGCCAAAGTTGCCTACCCCTGGTCTAGAAGACCTCTGAGGTCCCTTCCGACTCTGAGATTCTGTGAAGGATCTCCTGCTCGACCAGGGGTTGGACTAGATGACCTCCGAGGTCCCTTCCGACTCTGTGATTCTATGAGTCTGTTCGAGCTGGGGGTTGGACTAGATGACCTCCGAGGTCCCTCCCGACTCGGGGGGATTCTATGAGTCTGCTCGAGCTTGGGGTTGGACTAGATGACCTCCGAGGTCCCTTCCGACTCTGTGATGCTGTGAAGAGTCTCTTGCTCGACCAGGGGTTGGACTAGATGGCCTCTGAGGTCCCTTCCCACTCGATCTCCTGCTCGAGCAGGGGTTGGACTAGATGGCCTCCGAGGTCCCTCCCGACTCGGGGGATTCTCTGAGTCTGTAAGGGTCTCCCGCTCCAGCATCTGAAGGTAGACTACGTGATGACGGGCACGCTGCGATGTGAAAAGTGGTCGTTAAGTCACTTTTCTTGCGTGCCGTTGTAAACGCCGAATGGCCGCTTCAAAGGGTTGGGAAGGGGAGGACTAGCTGTCAAACGGAGTTCCCCCATCTGGGATGCTGTCGGATTCAGAAGGAAAACGCTCATTTATTTTTTTAAATAATTTTTTATTTTCCCAAACTCTCCCCCTTACATATACGGAGGGATTTATCCGAAGTTAACATACGTTCTTTTGACATTCATATATATAAGATACTTTGAATCAAAGGAAACAAATACATACACGCGACTTTTGGGGTGGCTCTATGAGATTTATGGTGTGGCTCTATGGGATTCTATGAGTCTGCTCGAGCTGGGGGTTGGACTAGATGACCTCCGAGGTCCCTTCCGACTCTGTGATTCTGTGAAGGATCTCCTGCTCTAGCAGGGGTTGGACTAGGTGACCTCCGAGGTCCCTTCTACTCTATGATTCTATGAAACTGCTTGAGCTGGGGGTTGGACTAGATGACCTCCGAGGTCCCTTCCAACTCTGTGATTCTGTGAAGAGTCTCTTGCTCGACCAGGGGTTGGACTAGATGACCTCCGAGGTCCCTTCTACTCTATGATTCTATGAATCTGCTTGAGCTGGGGGTTGGACTAGATGACCTCCGAGGTCCCTTCCAACTCTGTGATTCTGTGAAGAGTCTCTTGCTCGACCAGGGGTTGGACTAGATGGCCTCCGAGGTCCCTTCCAACTCTGTGATTCTCTGAATGATCTGCTCGAGCTGGGGGTTGGACTAGATGACCTCCGAGGTCCCTTCCAACTCTGTGATTCTCTGAATGATCTGCTCGAGCTGGGGGTTGGACTAGGTGACCTCCGAGGTCCCTTCTACTCTATGATTCTATGAATCTGCTTGAGCTGGGGGTTGGACTAGATGACCTCCGAGGTCCCTTCCAACTCTGTGATTCTGTGAAGAGTCTCTTGCTCGACCAGGGGTTGGACTAGATGGCCTCCGAGGTCCCTTCCAACTCTGTGATTCTCTGAATGATCTGCTCGAGCTGGGGGTTGGACTAGATGACCTCCGAGGTCCCTTCCAACTCTGTGATTCTGTGAAGAGTCTCTTGCTCGACCAGGGGTTGGACTAGATGACCTCCGAGGTGTGGCTCGCCCCTTTCCCCTCTCGCTGGATCCACACTCCTCCTTCTCTCCCTTCTTTCTCCTTCTTCTCTTCCCTACTTCTCTCTTCTTCCTCTCCTCCTCTCTTCCCTTCTTCCTTTCTTCTCTTCCCTACTTCTCTTCTTCCTCTCCTCCTCTCTTCCCTTCTTCCTTTCTTCTCTTCCCTACTTCTCTCTTCTTCCTCTCCTCCTCTTCCCTTCTTCCTTTCTTCTCTTCCCTACTTCCCCCTTCTTCCTCTCCTCTCTTCCCTTCTTTCTCCCTTTCTTCTCTTCTCTACTTCCCTCTTCTTCCTCTCCTCCTCTCTTCCCTTTCTCCCTTTCTTCTCTTCCCTACTTCCCCCTTCTTCCTCTCCTCCTCTCTTCCCTTCGCCACTCTCCTCCCCTTTCTCCCCACTTCTCCTCTTCTCCTCCAACCTTCCTACTTCCTTCTCCCCTCCTTTACTCTTTTCGCTCTCCTTTCTTCCCTCTCCTCCGTCTTCAGATACAATTCAGGGCTAATGTCCGAGCAACTCCTCTCTCCAAATGAAGGAAAAGGCTCTTTTGACTTGAATTTACCTCACGACGTTCCTGTCATCTCTTCGTGCCTGAGGTCATCTATGCCGTGATTGGTGGCCCCAAGTGTAAAGGGGGTGTTTCCCTTTTTTCCCGCCTTTTTCTTCTCTGTGTTCTGTATGCTGTTTGATTTTACCTCACGATGCGCCTACCTTCCTGACTAGCCTGGATCGTTTCTCCCGGGATGACGACAAAAGACCTCTCTAAATTAGAGCGGGAAATACATTTATAATACGGAAATACATTTATAATACCTCTCTAAATTAGAGCGGGAAATACATTTATAATACGGAAAACTCAACCGGGTTATGTTAAGTGTCTCCAATTTCTTCTGGACAACTGCTGCGCAATTCCACGAGACTTCCTCTTAGTTTGTCTCGTCTTATCCCGTCTCACATCCACCTGGTCCTTTGACTTGACGTGTCGGAAGGTCGCTAAAGAGGATCACACGATCCCAGGACACCGCAACCGTCATAAATACGAGTCAGTTCTCAAGCATCCGAATGTAGACTATGTGATCATGGGGTATGTTGCAAAGGTCACGGGAAAACCGATCGTCAGTCACTTTTTTTGCGTGCCATTGTAACTTTGAACGGCCACTGAAAGTGTTGTTAAGTTGAGGACTACGTGTAGAACTGATTTCACCCATCTGGGATACTGTCGGATTAAGCGGGAAAAGGCTCCTTTGCTACCGCCATACTTGGGATGAGGGCAAGGCCTACGGCGGCATGGAGAAGGACACGATTCTGCTATCCTTGGGGAAGACAGAGGGAAATCTTCAAAAATGAGCATCCGCTTCTCTCACTGAGTCCAGGAAAGGTTGGGAAGACCCCCGGCGGACACCCCCAGCCCCGTTTCGGCCGGCCAAGGAAAAGAGAGAAGCGGACACAGAACAAGAAAAGACGTTCCCGCGCATCTTGGATTGTATACTTCTCGAACAAAGGGGAACAAAAATTACAGGATAGTCCTCAACTTACAACAGTTTGCTTAGGGACCGTGCAGAGTTACAGCGGCACTGAAAAAAAGTGACTGACGACCAGTTTCTACACTTTTATGACCGCCGCACCATCCCCGGAGTCACGTGATCAAAATTCGGACACTTGGCGACCGACTTGTATGTAGGACGGTCGCAGCGTCCCGGGGTCGCATGATCAAAATTCGGACACTTGGCAACCGACTCGTATTTAGGACGGTCGCAGCGTCCCGGGGTCGCGTGATCAAAATTCAGACGTTTGGCAACTGACTCGTATTTACGACGATTGCAGCGTCCCGGAGGTCCCGCGATTCCCCTTTTTGCGAACAAGCAAAGTCAACGGGGAAGCGAGATTCCCTTGACGACCAAGGGACTAATTTATCAATTGCAGTGACTCGCTTAAGAACCGGGGTAAGGCCGGTCATCAAGGGGGTCAAAAAAACTCACTGAACACATTAGGGACAGAAATTTGGGGCTCTCTTGCGGTCGTAAGTCGCGGACGAGCTGCTACATCGTTTTGTGACCAGGAGGCAACGTGAAGCCGTAATTCGAACCTTAAGAGAATAAGTAGCGGTACACAACGACAAACGCTTTCCTGACGCGGGAAAACAACCTCTTGAAAATGCAAAAGGCCAACCAGAGCGGAAGGAAGATCGGGTGGCTGAACCTTTGGCGGGCGTTTCGGTTCTGCTCGACGAACCGCTTGACATGCTCGTCACGCAGGTGGGGCTCCAAGTACAGCTGGTTGACGTAGGATCTCCCCCCGTTTTCAAAAACGACTCTCTGCACCGTCTCCATCAGCTCCGAGACCTGCCTCTCCCGCTCGGCTCCGGCGGCCGTGTTGTTGAAGCCGCAGTAGCGGTTCCGGCACTGCCAGATCAGATCCTGCAAATTCCGATTGTCGGACTTTTGGACGTACTCCTCCAGGGGATCCCCGCCCAGATCCTCCAGGCAGGTGAAGAGGACGATCGTGTGCCTGGCGGACTCGGGCCCAAAGATATCCCGGACATACATGGCGGCGGCGGCGTCCTCGGCAGAGAAGCGCCCCACCTGGGTCACCAAGATCAGGGCGTGGGGGCCGGGCCAGGAGAGCTGAACGCAAGCCATGATCTCGCGTCGCACAATCTCCGTGTAGTTGTCCGAATCGAAAATGCCGGGCGTGTCGACCACGGAGATCTTCATGCCCTGCCAAGTTCCTTGGCCCTTTTGGCACCTCAGGGTGGTGTTCCTTGCAGCCAAGATGGAGTCGAAGGCCCTCTGGCCGAGGATGGTGTTGCCCGTGGCGCTCTTCCCGCCTCCGGACTTTCCGACCAGGATCAGCCGGAAGTCGGCGTCCTCCCCTGCGAGGTTGGAAGGCAACATTAGAGAAATAGTGACATCCACTCTAGCCCTCGAGTGCTGATGATCGATTCTTTCTTTCTCCTCCCTTCCTTCCTTTTCTCCTTTCTCCTTCCTCCCCCTTCCTTCCATCCCTTCTCCTTCCTTCCTGCATGCATGCATGCATGCCTCCCCCTTCCTTCCTTCCTTCCTTCCTTCCTTCCTTCCTTCCTTCCTTCCTTCCTTCCTTCCTTCCTTCCTTCCTCCCTCCCTCCCTCCCTCTCCTCTCTTCTCCTCTCCCCTCCCTCGCCCTTCTCCCCTTCTCCTGGGTTTCCCAGGAAAGACCCAGGAGAACTCTGGGATTTTTACCTCTCTCGGCGTCCATCTCTTTCAGGAGGCGAGTTCAGATCTGCCAGCAATGCAAAATACCTGCAAAGGGGGGGGGGGGAGAAAGCAGAACCCAAAACTGTTATTCTCTCTCTCTCACTCTCCTCTTTCCTCTCCTTCTCTCTCTCTCCCCCCTATCTCTCTCTTTCTCTTTCCTCTCTCTCTCTCCACTCTTTCCTCTCTTTCTTTTTCCTTCTCTCTCTCTTTCCTTTTCTCTCTCTCCTTCTCTCTCTCTCTCTCTTTCTCTTTCCTCTCTCTCTCTCCCCTCTTTCCTCTCTTTCTCTTTCCTCTCCTTCTCTCTCTCTCTTTCCTCTCTCTCTCTCCCTCTGTCTCTTTCCTCTCCTTCTCTCTCCCCCTCTATCTCTTTCTCTTTCCTCTCTCTCCCCTCTTTCCTCTCTCTTTCTCTCTTTCGTTTTCTCTCTCTCCCTCTCTCTCTTTCCTCTCTCTCTCCCCTCTTTCTCTCTTTCCTCTCCTTCTCTCTCTCTTTCTTCTCCTTCTCTCTCTCCCACTTTCTCTCTTTCTTCCTTCTCTCTCCTCTCTCTCCATTTCTCTCGCTTTCCTCTCCTTCTCTTTCCTCTCCTTCTCTCTCTCCCTCTCTTTCTCTCTCTTTCCTCTTCTCTCTTTCCTCTCTCTCTCCTTCTCTCTTTCCTCTCTTTCTTTTTCCTTCTCTCTTTCCTTTTCTCTCTCTCCTTCTCTCTTTCTTTCCTCTCTCTCTCTCCCTCTGTCTCTTTCCTCTCCTTCTCTCCCCCTCTATCTCTTTCTTTTTCCTCTCTCTCTCCCCTCTTTCTTTCTCTCTTTCCTCTCCTTCTCTCTCTCTTTCCTTTTTTCTCTCTCCCTCTCTCTCTTTCCTCTCTCTCTCCCCTCTTTCCTCTTTCTCTCTTTCCTCTCCTCTCTCTTTTGTCTCCTTCTCTCTCTCCCTCTCTCTTTCCCTCTTTCCTCTCTCTCTTTCCTCTTATCTCTCTCTCTTTCTCTCTTTCCTCCTTTTCTCTTATCTCCCTTTCTCTCTTTCCTCTCCTTCTCTCTCTCCCTCTCTTTCTCTCTCTTTCCTCTCTCTCTTTCCTCTCTCTCTCTCTCTCTCTCTCTCTTTCCTCTCCTCTCTCTCTTCAAGAGAGAAGACCCCAGACCCAATTCTCTGCCCTCCCTATCTGGAGACCCCACCGCAGCCCCCCCTCTTTGCAAAGAAGCCCAGATAGAGCCCAGCAGCCGGCAGAGGCTCCCAGCACGCCCCCACCTTCTCTTTGGGGGAGAAGACCCCAGACCCAATTCCCTGCCCTCCCCATGTGGAGAAGCCACCGCAGACCCCCACTTTGCAAAGCAGCCTCCCGGAGGGAGCCTAGCAGTGGGCAGTGGCTCCGGGGACGTCCCCCACCCTGTCTTCAGGGGAAGACCCCAGACCCAATTCCCTGCCCTCCCCATCTGGGGACTCCACCGCAGACCCCCCTCCCCCTCTTTGCAAAGCAGCCTCCCGGAGGGAGCCTAGCGGCGGGCAGTGGCTTCTGAGATGCCCCCCCTCTTTCTTTGGGGGAGAAGACCCCAGACCCAATTCCCTGCCCTCCCCATCCAGGGACTCCACCGCAGACCCCCTCCCCCTCTTTGCAAAGCAGCCTCCCGGAGGGAGCCTAGCGGCGGGCAGTGGCTCCTGAGATGCCCCCCCTCTTTCTTTGGGGGAGAAGACCCCAGACCCAATTCCCTGCCCTCCCCATCTGGGGACCCCACCGCAGACCCCCCTCCCCCTCTTTGCAAAGCAGCCTCCCAGAGGGAGGCTAGTGGCGGGCAGTGGCTCTCGGGACGCCCCCCCTCTTTCTTTGGGGGAGAAGACCCCAGACCCAATTCCCTGCCCTCCCCATCTGGGGACCCCACCGCAGACCCCTCCCCCACTTTGCAAAGCAGCCTCTCGGAGGGAGGCTAGCGGCGGGCAGTGCCTCTCGGGACGCCCCCCCTCTTTCTTTGGGGGAGAAGACCCCAGACCCAATTCCCTGCCCTCCCCATCTGGGGACCCCACCGCAGACCCCCCTCCCCCTCTTTGCAAAGCAGCCTCTCGGAGGGAGGCTAGCGGCGGGCAGTGGCTCTCGGGACGCCCCCCCTCTTTCTTTGGGGGAGAAGACCCCAGACCCAATTCCCTGCCCTCCCCATCCGGGGACCCCACCGCAGACCCCCTCCCCCTCTTTGCAAAGCAGCCTCCGCAGGGAGGCTAGCGGCGGGCAGTGCCTCTCGGGACGCCCCCCCTCTTTCTTTGGGGGAGAAGACCCCAGACCCAATTCCCTGCCCTCCCCATCTGGGGACCCCACCGCAGACCCCCCTCCCCCTCTTTGCAAAGCAGCCTCCCGGAGGGAGCCTAGCGTCGGGCAGTGGCTCCTGAGATGCCCCCCCTCTTTCTTTGGGGGAGAAGACCCCAGACCCAATTCCCTGCCCTCCCCATCTGGGGACCCCACCGCAGACCCCCCTCCCCCTCTTTGCAAAGCAGCCTCTCGGAGGGAGGCTAGCGGCGGGCAGTGCCTCTCGGGACGCCCCCCCTCTTTCTTTGGGGGAGAAGACCCCAGACCCAATTCCCTGCCCTCCCCATCTGGGGACCCCACCGCAGACCCCCCTCCCCCTCTTTGCAAAGCAGCCTCCCCGAGGGAGGCTAGCGGCGGGCAGTGGCTCTCGGGACGCCCCCCCTCTTTCTTTGGGGGAGAAGACCCCAGACCCAATTCCCTGCCCTCCCCATCTGGGGACCCCACCGCAGACCCCTCCCCCACTTTGCAAAGCAGCCTCTCGGAGGGAGGCTAGCGGCGGGCAGTGGCTCCTGAGATGCCCCCCCTCTTTCTTTGGGGGAGAAGACCCCAGACCCAATTCCCTGCCCTCCCCATCTGGGGACCCCACCGCAGACCCCCCTCCCCCTCTTTGCAAAGCAGC